GACCTTCAGCTCTATCTCAAACCATGCTGTACCAATCTTCAGAAAAACATTCTCAAAGCACTCAGAAAAACACTTTCCGATGTCTCTCAAATCTTCACATAGAACCTGTCTGACTCCATCTTACATTTCTCTGACTACATATCCCATACTACTTCAACTCCATCATAGGGCTCTCTTTGAAATCCCAAAGCCTGAAGGATCAATTGGCTAGATAGATAATCAATCCAGCTCAGAGCAGTCCCAGTCACTCAAACCACAGACGACAGCATGCAAGGCTGCAAACAATACGAGCACAAGGTGTGGCCAGTTTAGGGAAAATGAAGGGAAGAATAGACTAGACACTCTAGTTCTTCTGAAGAAGAACTAGAAGAAGTTCTTCTGAAGTTCTTCTGAAGAAGAACTTTGTTGTCTGGTATCCCAGACAACAAAAGTATTTGTGAGAGCTGAAAATTAGACTTCAGAACTCTTGAGTTCTCTGGCACAGTGGTTCTGAATTTCTGGCCTTCTAGATATTTTGCATGTCAGCCATTTTTGACTGTTGGTCATACCAGATGTTACCTCTGGGAGTTGAAGTGTGGAACATCTGGAGGACAACGCTGCTCTAAGCAGATGATTTTCAAATTTGGTTATACTAGGTTTGCAGCTTTTTTGCACCTCTGCTATTGCCACCCAAGGCACCTATGTGTTTAATCGAACAGTAAATGCAGATACCTGAGTGGTCACAAGCTTAATGTTTGCCAAGGAGGAGCATCTCCATACTGGTTTCTTCCTAATGAGCTTTGTCAGAGGTCATGAGACATCTGCATAGTGGCAGGTTTTGAGATTTGCTCAAGTACCCATAAAGGGCACAGTCTATTGCAAGTAACCTGCAGTAGGCTTTTCACTGCAGGTTATTTGCAGACCGGAGTGAAACTGCTTCCATCACACGCCTGTTTAATGCAGGAAATCCATAAAGGGCACAGTCTATTGCAAGTAACTTGCAGTAAGCTTTTCACTGCAGATTATTTGCAGACCAGAGTGAACTGCTTCCATCATACGCCTGTTTAATGCAGGAAATTGGAGTTGCTGGCGCCCCCACCTTCGGAACGAACAATGCTACCGAAGTTGCTGGGAAGCCTCCTACAGATGGCCACTTGGCAAGGTGGCCTTTTATGTCCAGGGAATCAGCTTCAGCAGCTCTGTTTTCATCACGCATGGAGCAGACTGCCCTTCCTCCTCCCCAGGGCTTGCTAGTCTTGTAGGCAGCGGCATTGCAGTGGCCAGGGAGTGCATGTTGGCGGCAGCAGCCTCCCTAGCTGTCAAAGAATCCCTGCTGCCACCACCGCCACTGTGCTCTTTGGCTGCCACCATCCAGACACCCACTGGACAAGCAAGCCCTGCAGAAGAGCAAAGGCTCTCTCCCCCAGCTGAAGCCCCTACTGCACCTACTTTAAAATGGCACCCAGTGTGCAGTATTTTAAAGAGCAGTAAGGTATACAGCCCCTACTGCACCTACTTTAAAATGGCATGCAGTGTGCAGTATTTTAAAGAGCAGTAAGATATACATAAAAGGGATATGGTGGCGCTGTGGGCTAAGTTGCAGAAGGCTCTGTGCTACAAGGTCAGAAGACCAGCAGTCGGAAGATCGAATCCATGCGATGGAGTGAACTCCCATCGCTTGTCCCAGCTCCTGCCAACCTAGCAGTTCGAAAGCACATAAAAATGCGAGTAGATAAATAGGTACCACCTTGGTGGGAAGGTAACAGCGTTCCATGTCTAGTTGCGCCGGCCACGTGACCACAGAAACTCTCTTCGGACAAACTCTGGCTCTATGGCTTGGGAATGGGGATGAGCACCATGCCCT